CTGTGGGAGGAGTTCTTGAACACTCCCTCCTGAACCACGAGACAGCAAAGGTGTTTAGGGGGTTAAAGCAGCTGCAGGAAGTTCCTGCACTCAATCTTTCCTGGATCACAGGCAGCCTTTGACCGGGGGGGGGGGGAAGTTACAAGACACACAAACCCTTCCAAGCTCTAAGGAGGCACCAACCACTGCTTTTTCCTTCCAGATGTCCTTTCAGTATCCCAACACCTCCTGCCTCTCAGCCCCTCACAGACCCTGACATACCTCACTCACCCTGCTTCAAATGTTATCATTCATTGCCTTCAAATGTGTTAATCCAACTCCCTAAGGTTATCCTGCAAAAGCTTTGATGTGTAGTCACTTCCCTATTCTGTAACTAATAACTAATTTGTTACTTTATTAAGTACTTTGAACTGTGAACTGTTTATCATTCTATAGGCACGATGTCACACCTTGGAGTCACTTGGCAACTGAGAAGAGGATAAGGGGCCATTCTCCAACTGTGATAAGACTGAAAATGCTGCTTCTATACCAATGTTTTACAATCTTGATTTTGTATTTCTGTAGGCTGTACTCTTAATGCAATAAAGGGATAAATTTTAAACAGTCTACATAAACTAATGTTGTGCAAAGCAACTCACAGGTGTAGCTCATTCCCTGTTTCATGGGAGCTCATTTTCCCACTACATTATTATAACACCTTAAAAGAAAGTTTCACCATAAAAAAGCAAAACCTCTGCTCAACAGTAAATTAATCTCAAATCTTAAACAGTAACAGTATTCTTCAGGCAAAAGAATATTGCTTTTATTCTCCAGGGTAAGAAAAGTTTAAGATAACAAAAAAAGCAGATACTTCATGACTGTTTGGCTTGAATAAAAATGGCACTGTGTCATTACAAGGCTTCTGCTTATAGATGTTCATTCTTTTAATCTTCATTCTCCTGACATGCACCAGAACCTTAATGCAGCTCTGCTGTGAGATTTCTGTAGACCAGGATGTTGTGGTAAATAGCACAGTAACAAAAGACAAGAGCCACAGGCTGAGCAATAAACCAAAACAGTTTTTTCCATGTTTAGGGAAAACACTGCTGGAGAGACAGCAAGAAGTTACAAGCAAAGAATTTGCACTATTTTACCACTGACAATGTCACCTGACTTTAAATTTAAAATCCTTCAGAAGATTGGTCACTTCTCTCAAAATCCAAATGGGGAAAAAAAAACCAGACTAAGGCAAGCTTCTGAAATCTAACACAGGCTTCCAGAATTATTTAAACAAGTTCAGCCCAACAAAAGATTTCTGAATTTCAGATAAAATTAATTGCAATTATATCACTTATGACACACAATGCCTTAAAAATAATGAAAGAAATATTCTGCTGAAACAAAGTTAATTTGCAAAATCAAGACATTTTTGGTGTGCCCATCTGTGTGTCAGATTCTACAATGGTTTTCATTGCAGTCCTACTGTGCAGGAAGTTTCTCATCTGCTAAAAAAAATCTTTTTCCATTTGCAAGACCCTAATGACTGCAGTCACACATCACTACATTACAGCTCATTAGGTGACTGTACCAAAATGGTTATGAAAAACACAAAGTTGCAACAAATGTAAATGCAAGTTAAAAAGTACCTATCACATCACTGGCACCCTGCTAAGCTACATGTACAAATACATGGCAGGGAGAGAATCCATGGCTCAAATAAAAGTCTCAAATTTATTATGATAATGCTTAAATAACATCCGTGAGATAAGTGGATGGACATTCTCTGCAGAAAAATGTACCCCAGCTTGGAGGAATTTCAAATGTATTTGGGGAGAAGACTTCTGACATACCATGCTCAAGACTTGCTAAACTGCAAATTGTACAGATTTACCACAATCTTAACCAAAGACTATTCCAGGAGGGCACTTACTGCTAAATTCCTAGAAGACCATAATTGTATTATGGCATTTTATTATACAGAGAACTACAGCTTTTATCACCCATGTGGAAAAAAGCCATTATAAACAAGAGGAAGTAAACCAAATTGTAACACTTGACACATATCTATCTGCATATATGGAAAAATCAGACATGCAAGTTTTTGCAGAACATTACACACTATTCCTCACATCAAGAATAATCAAAACATGGACTTCTCTTAGGTATTTCATTCTCACAACGTGTTTATTGCTTCTTATGATAAGCTAGTCAAGCAAAGAACTTGTTCAGTACTACACTTGCCCTGTACTAATGCACCTTCTTTAAATAACCATGTATCATACCAGTGTTCTCTTTGAGTCCAGTTCATAAACAGCATACTCCAAATACTCCCGTGAAGTTTTACTTAATTAAACATTTTCAGAACAAGCAGGAGTCCATTCTGTCAGCACGAGTAAAGAACCTAAACTTTTAAACACTAATACCCTGTAACAGTGTATTCTTTAGGAAGCTTATAATATATCAAACTTTTTTGTCACCAACCCATTATCCGCGTCAGAAGCATACTTCCCGAATTCCGTAACCATTTTACTGGAGCACATCCCATTCAAATTTCTCTGGGCCACCCCAAGCATCACATAAAACCGAGCGTGCCGCATATAGTAAATGACGCAAGGAGGGGCGTGTGTATTCACAAGCTAGAAGCACACAAAGTACTCGTTATTCCAGAGGCACACTGTCCCCACAGCCGCCGAGGGACGGGCATAAGCTCCGGGTGGGGCAGGACCCTCGGGCCCCAGCACAGGTGCGGAGCAGGCACCGCCGAGCGCCACTGAGTCACAGCGAGAGGCGAGCGGGCTGTGCCGGCACTCGCGGCACTGCACAGCCAATATTTGCTCTCTACACTGCACCGGCCGGACAGCAAACACAGGGCAGCGAACGCCCCATTTCAATTTTAAAAAGGTATAAAATAATATTTTATTTAGTAGTATGTCCTCTTCTATCCTGCTGAAGGCTAACACTCACAGGAAATAAGCTCCATCTTTTTTTTTTTAAGGGAAAAAAAAAAAAAAAAGCCGCTCCTCCTAAAGCATTTCCTGATAGTTATTCTGCCTAGTTCCAGATCCGGGACACGGATACCGGTCACACCGGAGGCTGAGGGGGCCGAGGGGGACACGCCCGGGGCGATCCATTGCTGCCCCAAAGCTCCGGCAGGCGAAACCGCCTCAGCCCCGGGGGCGGCGCCGCGCACCGAGCCCCGGCCGCCGCCGCCGGCTCGC